AACAAGAACTCACCAATAAACAGGCATATCACACTACTTAAAAAGGTTCTTTGTACTGAAAAAACATTGCTATGGAGAAACACCCTTACGCCAGCCAGGCTCATACTTACACCACGAAGCCTTCCTGGGCATATCCCACATGCTGACTTGGGTGCCTTTCCCACTTTCTTGGTGTAAAGGTAAACAATCCTGTTCCCGGGTGTTCGGGACCTGAGCACAGCAGAAAAAACACTCAGTTAATGTAACAACCAAAACTTAACCATCACCTTCTTACAACGTCAGTTTTCTTAGAAACTGTCTTACTTACAGTCTGGTCTTGTTGGAAGCTGTGTTGTAGGACAACCTACGGCGGTAGGTCAGGCGCTGAACCATTTTTTACACCTAAGGAAGCCAAAACCAAAGCAGCACTAGTTTTAGGGTTGGATATCCACATAGAAGTTCGTGTATCACAGCACCACCTGTGCTCCAGGTGTAAATTAGGATCTGCCCATTCTGCATTAATAAAATTCGAGCATCTCCTCATCAATGATAGTCAACACAACTAAAAAAACAAAACAAATGACAGCAGGTACAGCATGGTTTGCAATGAGGATCCATTTGAACTAATTTGCACACTGCTCAATATCCTGGTTTTGCCCACGTGATGTCACGCTTCCCAAAGAAAGTGCTTAAAGCTTTAGCAGCTACATATTTTATAACCAACATAACCCTCGGACTTTATAATCCTGTTGTTCAAACCTGAACTTGCCAATAAAAAGGCATATTATATTACCTGAAAAGGCTCTGTGTGCTGAAAAAACACTGCTGTAGATGAAAACCCTTACACCAGTCAGGCTCATACTCACACCGCACAGATAATTTTATAATAAACTACGTATTTTATAACCAACTGGCAAGGCCGCAGATTGAGTTGCAGCAAGCCGCGCGGTTTCCTGTCTCATCTGAGAGCAAGCTGTGTTAGTAACAGCCCAGGCACAGACCGCAGCCACTCACTGGGGCCCGGGAGACGCGGGCCCTGCTCGGGAGGCCCGGCCTCTCCATCGGGCAGCTCTTGCCGCACCGCCAGCCCAAGCGCGGGCGGCAGCGGCGCCGTTGGTCCCTCTGCACAGCCCCCCGGGGCCTCTGGTCGCCCTGTCCACCCCCCGTGCCGCGGATGGGGGCGGATGGGCGCGCACAGCCCCCGGCCCGCGCCGCCATACCTGGAGTCGCCGGACCCGGAAGAGGAAGCGGAAACGCGCGGGGCAACACTGAAAGAGCTGCGCGCTGGAACCCGGAAGGAATAGCGGCACACACCCACCGCCATTCGTCTCCCGGCCGTGCTGGCGTATGGGCGCCGCCATGTTGTACGGAGAGGAGGTGCAAGGGTGTTGTGCGGATAAAGTGGGCCGGGGCTCCGCTCAGCGGCAGCAGCGGGAGCGGCGGCGCTGGAAGTGGTGGGGATGATGGGGGTCACGGTGAAGCACGAAAGAATCCTTTCTGCTGCAGACGCTCCACTTTTCCCAGGGTTTCTCTGCAGGGGGGGTTTCCCACCGCCCCCTTCCCCTCCCCGTTTTATTTATTGTGCGTTTTACCGAAAACAGTTTTGTGCTTCGTTATGGTAGTTACGTAGCTGTGGGCCCAGAAGCCGTTTCTCAGGGTGCTGTTCTAAGCTCTGAATTACAAGTCGTTCACACATGGCTTTTCCATGCCAAACCAGCAGGTAACACACCTGGAAGCTGTGTGTTTTACGCAAAACTTCCACCATTTGGAAAAGCTGGTCTCCCTGAAGGCTGTGCCCCTTCTCCTGCCAGAATCCCCTGGATGCCACACCTGGAGCACCATAGGGATGTCCTTGCCATGCTCCATTCCCCTTAAGATACCCTCCCAGACGCTGCACCAGGCTGACAGGCTGATCCCAAAACTGGGCCCTGTGGAGAGCAACACAGTACTCGTGTTTGTCTGACAACCCCTGGCTGTGCCAGCACTGCATTGGGAGCCTTGGATGAAAGATCTTTGTGCCTGTTTACCAAAACGTGGACCCACTGTTTCATGAGCTCCAGGGCAGATGCTTAAGCAGGAGCAAGAAGATATAAAACTTTCTCTGTTGGTCAGGTCAAAGGTCCACCTCACTCAAAATACTATATTCAAGCCACAGGTACCTGATAAAAAGCATCGGGGAAACAGGACACAGCTAGTTGATCTTTCCCTTAATACACCCTCCCTGCATTCAGCTGTCAGCATCATACAAGTTTCCTGATCTGGGTCACGTTTTCTGACTTTTGAGATTAGCCCAGTTGGTTAGAGCATGGTGCTAATAACATCAGGGTTGTAGGTTTGAGCCCTATAGGGGCCATTCACTTAAGAGTTGGACTCAACAATCCTCGTGGGTCCCTTCCAAGTCAGAATATTCTGAGCTATTTAATAGCCTCTGGTAGATCCCTGAGAAAAGAAAAGATTTTCGTATGGTGTCAATGGAAAACCACCATCTGCAAGGGGGATGGGTTTGGGCCCACCATCTGTGAGCCCTGAAATGCTCTGTTCCTCCACTGACCTGAGCAATATTCCACAATGACAACCAGGGACCCACACATTAAATATGCAGGGTGCTGCTGCTGCCATCATTAGCGGCTTCAGCTTTGCTTTTGGAGAGTAGCGGGTGCTCAGAAAGCTTTGATGTGTCCTTCTGGCCTTATTTATGGGTTTGAAACTCACAGTTCATTGTACTGTAGCCTCCCTGTTTTCAATTTATAATTATTATTTTGGTTCATTATTGACTCTTTTTAAAGTGCAAATTATGGACACTAGGATTTTTTTTTCTTTTTCATGAAAGAAGAGAAAATATGTATGAACTAGATTTTAGGGTATATTTAAAATAGGAGCATATTTCAGATGACGAGTAAATTTCAGAGCAATTAGAGTATTTAATATGAACTTTCTAGGCCTAGAACCCTGAGGGGAATAAGAAAGCCAATTAAATTAAATTAAATAATCATGCCTAAATATGAAAGTGTAACAGAATCCAATTGTTAAAGAACAACACTATTAAATTATGATAGAATAGTTTAGATGTTGTCAGTGCAACAGGTAACTATTCTATTATTGAAGAACACTGTCGATATTTTTTTTAATTTACCCTGCTTTGGCCTTTAAACTAAACTGGTGTAAATTTTAGAAGCTGTCAATTAAATCCCAGCAGTTCTCTTCTGCTGATGCACTGGCCTAGCTTTTCAAGCATTCTCAGTTTGTTTTGTAAGATGTACAGGGCTATTGGGCAAACGGCTCTTCACAGCATCTAGAAATGTTAGTTCATTGACTACTGGTTTAGTGCTATCTAATGTGAGGATAAGATTTGAAGCAGAACCTCACTAAGCCCATTTTGTACAGATTAGTCCTAGTCAAGTGATTCTCTCATGTTCTATGCTGCTCCTACCTCTTCACAGGACCAAATCGTCTCTTTTGGGAGCAGTTATTTTCCACGTCCAACATGTCTCATTAACTCTTTATGCATTTTCTTCTTCCCTTGAATACAACAAGGGGGATGGGTTAGCAAATGCACAACCCAACAATACAGAAAAGTAACAGTGGCAGCCTATAAAATCTATTTTTCGTCTTCTAGGATGTTGGTGGAAGCAAAGGTCCTGAGGATGTGAGCCTTTTTTCTTAAGAAAACTGGAGGTTGGTTTCCAGGGTCTACTTGCTTATTGGCAATGCAAAACTGGAAACCTCCTTTCCACCGGATGTGACTAGGAAGATAATCATCTCTGATGGCAGTTTGCTAATATACTGCATTTTGCACTAGCCAGCAAGTTGTCACCGTATTCTGGTTTTTGCACCAGAAGAATGTTTTGTTCACAGTTTAAGACCAATTCTTGCTATGTTGACCATCCTTGCTTTCTTTTCCAAATGGTTCTCTCCTTTTTTCTTATTTCTCTGGAAGCCCCCATCTATGTGCATGACCATTTGTTTGGTCACATGGAAAGTTCCAACACAGTAAGTGTGAGAGTTCCAAAATGCATAAGGCTCGATAAGCCCAACTGGATCCCCTTTACTTTCCTCTGCCTTCTGTGCCACTTCCAGGTTCCTGGTAGATTCCAGGAATCTACAAGACCTCAGGAGGACTCCACTGCTCCATTAACTTCTCTTCATGGATCCTTCCAGAGCTTTTCTCCATCATAAGTTTCTCATTTAAAAAATGAGAGATGTTTTCACTAATATTCACTTGCTAGGTACCAACCTAGACTAGCAAATTTTAAGAGGCATGGGAAGGAACACAAGCCTGTGTGCAAGCACATACTGGGTACTGCAGAGAGGGAAAAAAATGATAGCTGGAGGATATGCTGTTCCTGTTAAGCTACAGCCACAACACCATTTCTGTGAACAGCATGTATTTTAGAAATGTCTCAATGAAATCAGAATCCAGCCTCTGATGCTACTTGGGTACAACCAGCAGGATTAAGTCTGCAAATGCAGAAAGGAAACAAGAAACCTTGGAAAAGTACTAGCAACTGCTGGAAAGAAGAGAAAGAAGAGCTCCTATGGTCCACTGTCTCTCCAGAGCTAATTTTTTTCTTAAAATTCCCATCCCCTTGTTAACTATGTGGCATGTGTCATAATCTGATTATATTAATTTCTATCAACATAACCTTCCACAACATAGCCCTGTGCAAATTACGTTATGAGAAACTGTAGTTCATTTCCATTTCAGTGGAGCTTGTTAAACAAGCAAAATTATTTTGTAGCAAAGGGAAAAACAATTTAGTGGAATGCACTCCTAGCATAGGAAGTACATAATATTGTATTTGGGTTGAAACTTTTTCTGTCAGAAATGTCATAACCCTGTAAGAAAGAGAATTAAAATCCCGTTATTTTAATTTACATCTAGCCATGAGATAAGTAAAGTTATCATTGAAATTCTAATTAAATAGGATGATTGACTAAGGTAGGACATCAAAGAGGAGAAGTGAATATGATAAGTCAAAGTCTTATTAATTAGTCCGCGTGGAAGAAATTCCAGGGACGTCAAGCTGAGGCTGCTGCAAGGAGAAAAAAAGCAGACAAGAAAATGTGTGTTTCTTTGAAGTTAGGAACTGAGATAGTGAAGGAGGTAATTGTGTCTGACTGGATCCAGTAATGAAGAGCCGTAAATCAGACCCAGGAATCGGAGGAAAGATTCTAGTAACGAATGTGGCTGCCCCCCTGCTGCGAAGAAACAGAATGCAGAGCTGACTAATTGACCCAGTCTATCTCCCAGTAGCTCTCTGTTATTATTTATTAATTTTTAATTTCTGAATTATTTACGTTCTGGGAAATTATTTTTGACAGCCTGTTAGGCGTGCCAAAGTTAATGGAGGATGAAAGGACTGGTACTAGAATTAGCAGGGATGTAGTCACAGGCTACTGAATTTAATGATTTTGGAAGGGAAAATTGATTTCACACAGCGTGTCACTTTATACTACTTTAGGGATACACCAGCTATTTGATTAATTGAGGAATAACCAACTCAAAGTATATTTGAAGTGTAAATGAATCACAGTGCTCAGCTGTTTATTTTTCCCCTTTTCTGATGAGAACACTGAGTTTGCTTTAAGTTGCTGATTAAAACCAATACAGGTAGGCCCCATACTCACACCTGCTTATTTTCTCCTGCCTTAAAAAAAAAAAAAAATTAAAAAAATCACCATCTGGATGAGACATGCAGTCCTCCATCTCACTTGGGATAGAGTTCATCCTTCCTACACAACGCCTAATTAAACAGGCTTTGTGTGCACTCCCCCTTCCCCTGTGGAAAATGTTTGAGACGGAGCAGGGTACCAAGCCCGTGGGCAGCACGTGCAGCTGAGACATGAATTCTGCATGGTGACAGCTCATGTTTGCTTTTCATCAGTCCCTGTAAGTGGGACATCAGATGCAGTAAGGGTCCCTAGCCTACAACATCTCCTGTGTTGGTTCTATTGGTGCAGCAGTGATAAATTGGTCCACTCACCTACCATGCAGAGCAATGAAAAAATAAAGGGGCTCTGCACAGCTTTTCCAGGCTGTGAAAACTGTATTTTCTCCTCGGTGCCAAATGAAGCTAAATCCTGCCTGCTGCTCACATCTAAGCCTTCTGACTATCCAGGGCATGGAGGCAATCCTTTTCCAGCAATGTGTGTAATGCTGTAGGCATCTCACATCTCCAGAAAGACTCGTGCTAGAAACATCTCTGGAGCTGCTTGGGATCATCACCTCACTGCTCCTTCCCCCAACAGCAACCACCCAAGATGAGGGGTATGGCTGCA